GCCGGCAGGAACTGAGGACCCCGAAGAGAAGCTGAAAGTTTGCCATCTTACTGGTGGGGACCCTTCACTGTTCTCCTTTTGTTTACAGTTTTGGTTTTTAAAATCACTTCACCTCTTAAAATCCTAGAGACTCTGATGAAAGGCACAGACTCTCAGAAAACATCTTATCACATATGAGTTAATACATAAATTCAGAAGATTCTTGTACTTGCTGAGACTGATCAATAGACCTCACTTACAGGGCCTTTTTAACCATGTGACAAAATGATCATTTTAAATTACCTGTGGGCCTTAATCACCTATGGCAAACACCAGGTGCAAGGACAAGTCATTAGTACCAAATCTGAATAAATGCAAGCATGCATAGAGGAACCAAATGAAGCTTACCTAAAAATGTATCTGCCAGAATGATGGATTGTGATGATAAGGCTGCTCGGAAACCCTTACTTTCAGAAGGAATAATAGTTGACTGGCATACATATGCTCCTACCAAATTCGTGTAATCATCTGACCCTGCCACCATTTCCTTTACTGTAAAATCTGTTATATTGTTGGTACAGAGAGCCATCTTCTTCCCCTAGGAAAACAAAGTCATAAAGAGGTTTTATTGAAGAGTCAGCCTCTGCACTGCATCTCCAAGAGCCAGTGACTTCAATGGAGCAGTGGCTCACTCCTCACCACAGAGATTCTGCTCTAATTGATCTGGTGTGGAGCCCAGGCACCAGAATTTTTTTAAAAGCTCTGAGGCAATTCCAATGTTCAACCAGGATTGAGAGTCACTGAAGTTATAATGAATGTAGTAATTCAAGACTGCACTGCTCTTCTAACTATAAGCATCATTTGGGCTGGATGAAAGCCATCTAACTTGAGGAAATAAAACTCATCTATGTGCCCTTCAGTTCACAATATAATGCATACAGAGAGCCCAGAACACTGCTGGTGAAAGATTTGCTCTTCCCTCTTCTTATAGGCCTGTGTGTGGCACAAAGGTAACGTGAAGGCAGAATAAGAAAGCCTGAAAGCCACATTGTAGCAAAATCCTAGAAAACCATATAACTTCTAAACAGTTCATCACTTCAAGGATCCTTATTCACCCACTCTTAGATTCAGTGATGCGTATCTGTTCACCTACATGGTCAGTTGAAGGGAATACAGGGTTCACTTTCTTGATCATTTGGAGGATAACTAGAAGATAAAATTTATAAAAATTGAAAGGCTGTTTAAATAGACTATAGCCCCACTGCAAAGGACTGTAGCTAGCTCAATAATTTCTATGAAGAAGTGCCTACTTATTGGCCTTTGATCTAGAGTGTGCATGATGGACATAAAGAAAAGACCTCAGATTTCTCTTTCTTAACATAACTAGCAAACCTATAAAATTTTTCCCCTCCACCAAACCTTCTCACAATACAGGTGCCACATATTTTTACTAAGCTTAAACTGTTGAAGCCAGGATGAGGGAAATAATGGAAAAGATCAGAAACTATTAAAGAAAGAAAGAGGAAAACACAGTGAAAGGAAAAGGACAAGAATAAAAAGGAGAGAAAGAGAAAGAAGACAGATGAGCAAAGGAAAGAAGATGGAAGAAAAGAGACACAGGAACATGAATGAGAAGTGTGATATAAAATGGAATTAATCTTATTCAGAGTATTTAACATAATTGACATGGTATTTAACATAACAGGTATTCAATAGATATTTCTTTACTGAGTCAACTGAGAGACTACCAATCTAGTGAGTGCTTTAGGATCACCCTAGGTAAAATCAGGACAGGAACAATGTCCTACCGTGTTAAATTTATAGACCTTTTGGTTTGAACACTTTTGTGGTCATCAGATCTTTATCCCCTTGCACAAAGTCTGACACAGCATCTCCTAATGAAGACCATCAGAGATACAGGAGTGAATATGGAACAAAACATGGAGGAAATGCCTCATTATATTTTACCTTTGCTAATGGTCCATATACACAGATATTTCCCCAATCCCAAACTCATATGCCTATAAAAATATCAGACATAGAGTCCTATAACTCTCCCCATTACCAGTATTGATTAAAATTCTGCTTCTTACCACAGAAAATAAGATCCGATAATTTTTCAGCAGAGGCTACCTGATCAAATAACATCTGTTCCCTGCTTACTTCCTTTTTGTTTCTGGACAAACTTCCTCTTGGTAGCCTTTTTTCTTTTACGTTGGCAATATAAACAACAGTAGAACCTTCTCAAACCGTAACTGCCTGCCTAAAAATTAGGTGGCATTGACATGCCTGGCCCGCCTTTACAAAAATGACAGCTCCAAGCTTTGAGGCTTAACTAAGTGCTTTGATGGACTGAGAACCAGACAAGGTTGCCCCCCCCCACCCCCCCGGTAGAGAGAGCTGCCAACATGTTAGGAGGCAACAAAGGATTTAAACAATCAAAACTCAGTCTCTGACATTTGCTTGTTATTTTCCACAGTGATTTTATCGGGCCATCAACAGAGAAAATATCAACTCAATCAGAGGTGAACTATATTTCCATTTCACCTTGACAGCCAAAACTCACCTCGTGCCCACATAAACTAATATTGAAGAAATGGAAGTATTTTGTTCCTTTGGAGGTAAAGCTGGGGCCATTCATTAACGAGCCCACACTGCTGAGGTTGCTGAAGTCATAATGCAAACTCTGATTTTCTTTTTCATGGTGGAAAAAGCAGTCACTGTAGCAAACTGAGTGGTCCTTTGATTAAAGATTAAGAAATGAAAAACACAAAAGAAGGAAGGAACATACTGGCTGCTATCAAAAATGTTTCAAAAAAAGTTAGAGGTTTTAAAACTATTTCACCAACTTTGACTTAGCTATGTGTTACCATATTAATACACAGAATTTCTAACTGCTAACTAGATTTTCCTAAGCAAAATTCAAAACATTCAACATTTTTTTAAAGAATGAAGTTATTCTAAGGTTAGTTTCTTGGAGAAAGGTATTATAGTAAATAGTAAAAACTCCCTGTTATGCCAGTTTAAATAGTCAATAAAACATTCTCCTTCACCTATAACATTAATCTTTGCTCTTAAAATGTTATAAGATTAATTTGCTGCTCTCCATATGTGCCTATTGCCAAAGGTAGTTTACCTCCTCTATCTTCACAGAACACACAGCACATCAGTTTTCATATTTTTGGGAAGCATTCTTATTTCAGTGCTTTTCTAAATATTTTATGTCCCTAGAAACCAGCACTTTCATGGCACATATTAATGCTCAATAAATGTAAGAGGAGAGAAAACAAGGGAATGAAAAAGCCATTTGTAAATATAACTAACAACAGTGTAGCTCCTGGAGAAACCTTAAAGGCAACTGCTGAGTTTCTCTAGTAAAATGTGCTTTGCTGGGGTAAGAAACACTCACCTGAGCACTTCTGCTGCCAGGCCCACAGGGAATGCAAGCCTCCTCGCCATAGACCTGGCGTACGGACAGGTAGGTGTCAGGCGGACACTCCCTGCACTGGCTGGTTTCCTTCTCGATGTAGTGGCCTGGGGGGCAGGGGACACACGATGAGCCCGCCTGCTCAGACCCGAGGGCGCAGGCACGGCATGAGGACGCCACCCCATCCACTGCGTTAGTGGCAATGATGGAATAAATCTTCACCATGTCATTGATGAACCGTCTGTTCTAAAAAGAGAGCAGAAAGGAATGACTTCTGCCTTGGGACTTAGTTGTACAACCAGAGAGTTTTATGTTGGCATCACCAAACTAAGCAGAGTGTTCCAGCCTAATAGTTTGTAATTGACAATGGATTAATATTATTCTCTTTTGGTTCTTTATCTTAAATCTTAGCATTAGAAGCTAATTTCCACAGTAGTAGACTTCCAGGAGTTTTGCCACAAGCACCATGAGATATGGCATAATTGGTACAAACTCACACATACTTATCAACTTTACATCTGAAGAAAAGGTAGGGTTTAATGCTCCCAATATTGTTTATTTATGTATAAGCCCAAATGTAATGATACAACAGAATATTTGCAGTGTAGCAGCATGGAAAAGACTTGGACTAAGGATTAGAAAGTCTTGGAAGATGAAGATTCTGCTCCTCACCTGAACACTGTATATAGTACTGATGAAATCACACTGCTCCTGTGTCTTTCTCTCCCTCTCTCAGGAAAGTCCTAGAGAGGTATTCTGATTTCTACTGAAGGATGCATAACAGCAAAAACCTAGGTCTTACTATACTTTTCTTTCTTGCGGCACCGACTTAATAAAGGTCTAGCTTCCATCAAGCAGAAGGCATCACTCTATTAGTGTGGAGCACCATTCCCCTGACTACTTAATGTTTTTTGATTGGGGCAAAGATGAAAGGAAGGTGAGGAAGCATTCCACAGCGGGGTCATGCTCCTCATCATGGGGACCGGAACACTCATAAAGAACCGCCACAGACAAGTAAAATCTGGAGAATCGTTCCCCACAGAAAGCCTGAAGAGAAAAGAGAAAATCCTCTCTGTTTGCCACTGCATCTTTAAGGCAGCTTCTGAAAAGGTGCTTTACTTTGTTCTCACCTTGGGAAGATCACATCTATGGACAGCCTCACAAATCACAGTCCTGCTACTATTGAAACAAACAATGGAATTTACGTACGGAAGGATTAAGTTCTATCAGGGAAAATAAAAGAGAACTAATTCTGTGTGTTAGCCCACTGTGTGTGCATACACACATGATGTAAAAGGAGACATCACTGTAATGAAATAATAAATGAACACCAGGTAATGGCTCCTGGATAAATGTCAGATCATTCAGACGAACAGGAAGAAAGTCACCAGCCCTCTCACAGTCTCAGAAAGCTTTGAAAGTAAGTTTTTTAATAACTACAAAATTAGATTTTTTTTTTCTCTTAAGGTTTCAGCAATCTATTTGGTCAGAATGTAAAACAATTCAAAGATATATAGTTATTCCATTTCATACATTCTTATTCTCAAAAAAACAAACTGAAAAAAATACCATTTTTATACCAATCCACTCCACAGCCAAATGATGACACATCAATGAAAAGCTAAGATTTTTCCTCCAGAAGATTTGAGTGATCACTTCGTATGAATCTCTATTAGAGAAATCATCTGTTAAAAAAAAAAGAAAAACAAAAAACAAAACACAAACATGCTTGGAACTTACATCTTGACCTTGATTAGTTCTCTGGAATGCCCATGTAAATGTAAATGTTGCATTCTTGAAGATAACATGGGTGTAAGCTTGTTTTTCTTTGGTTCCACCCCATGATTCCACCACATTGGTACTTTTTCTATTGATATCCTAAAATACAGTAGAAAAAAATATACACAAGCATTCACTGGTTTAGTAACCACAACATACCAACCACATTGTCAATATAACCTGAAAGATGTCTCAAAGCATAGGATTTTGGAGATGTGTGTATGTGTCTGATTGTCATTTAGGAAATACATTTTAGAACGGGAAACATAATTCCTCAAACTTGTCACCATAAACTTCTAGGATGCCCCTAGAATGGAAAGGCCTTTTCCATTTTTACCCTTTTTTCTTAGAGATTCCAACAGGCATCTCTTGCACAGAAATTCTAAATTCCCCTGAATTGTACTTGCAACTTTCAGGCTTACCCAAGGCAGATTAACGAGAATGGTATTTTATGTTTATGAAATATTCTCCTGTGTATATTTGAATTCCAAAATGATTAATTGGGACAATTTTTTATTTCTGCCTTTCTTAGCTAAGCCTAGAGGATTCAATAAGGTATGTAACTGTTGAATCACTGTGTATACTTCAATTTTTAAAAACACACTTAAAAAATAATTCAGAATATTTTACAAATGTTTTACATCCCAACCAATGTCATTAACATGGTTAGAAATGGTCAGAAAACAAATATAAGTCAACCAAATAATGCATTAAACATTCAATTTATTTGAAATGAAAACCAAGGCTCCTTGAATGTTCTAATTAGTCTTCCCTGCAGAAATCCTACTAGAGGACTTAGGAATTTGGATAGGCTTCTGTTAGTTATCTGGGGTGTTGATAATACAGTGGCATAAATTCAAGGCACATCTCTTTCTTTCTGTGATATAAACATATGAGTCAACCATGTTATAAAGTAATCAGATATGTTATAAAGAGGTGCATCTTGAGTTTACACCACAAATAAGAATAACAGAATATGCTTGTCATACATCACAGAATTCCCCACATTACCAAATGACCAAATCATCATACATGGCGCTTCCGAAAAGGAAATCATAATATACAGATCATACGGGGGAGGGAAGGGAAAAATATATATATATATATAGATCATACTTTGTTAAACACCATCCTTCTGGATATGCGTTCCAATAATAAGTGAAATTCATTGCATTGCTGCAAACAATGCCATCTTATACTTGTAAAACATTACTGATTTTTAAAACATTGTTATATGCTATTTTATTGATAGCTAAAAAAATCCTATGGGGAGACCAAATCACAGAGGGGAAAAAAACTCACAGAATCTGCTATGAGCTAAAAACTCTGATTGATTTACTAAAATAAGTACACCTGTGATCCCTTTAGGAGTGCTTGGTCAATTAAGAGACCAAAAATAAACAGGAATACATTCACATAATTAAAACTGGAATGGAAATGCAACATGGCGAATATAGTCAACGGTTCTGTAAGTAGTACTCGTTACACTAGCAACTGTTCCAGTGAAGTGAGGATTCAATAAGGTGTGTAACTGTTGAATCACTGTGTATACTTCAATTTTTAAAAACACACTTAAAAAATAAATAAGCCAAACTGGGTTTTCTCAAAGGGTTTTAGGAGCATGCTGGAAGGACTGTTTAACTTTACTTACAGGAATGAGAGAAAGCTTCCTGGAAGAGGTGAAGTTTGAGGTGCCCCTGAAGTTTGAATAGGAGTTCACCAGACAAAAGAGCAAAAGGAAGAGGGTGCCATTCTAGCTTAGAGTATCAAGGCACAAGAAATGAAAAATAGAAGGTGTTCCATTAAATCCAAGGTGTCAAATAGGGGTCAGTAGTAACAGTAGGTCTGATAACGGAGGCAGACAAACAGTACAAAAAGCCATAGAGATGGCTTTTAAAGAATTTTAAATGTGTTCATAGGCTATTGGCTTTTGAACTTTGGTGTGTATCAGAACTACCTTCAAGTTTTCTAAAATACAGATTGCTAGGCACCCTCACCAGAATCCCTCATTAAGACTAGGATAAGGCTCAGAAGCTGGTATTTGTTATAAGCTCCCAGGTGATGCTGGTGATGATGGTCCAGAGACCACACTTTAAGAACCACCACCACAGACATTAAGAGCATCGAGGCTAATGGGCACATTTGCTGTGGATGCCTCTGCTGTATAAGAGAAGAATTGACAGGAGACTGTTGTTGAGGTATTAGGAGTCTAAATTTCCGCGATGCCCTGAGTATGAAGAGAAACTACAGATTAAAGAAATAAGGAGGCAGAGCTGGAAAAATTGAAGACTTATTGGTTATTTGTGGTCTTACAGATGGATGTGTTGAAGATTACTCATGATCTTCTCTTACTATCACAAAGTCTTTTTTTCTTTCAGAACAAAATAGTCGGCTTTCATTTAAGCTATTAGTAATCACAAATAAATATTCAAATCTCTATATATTTTGTATACCATAGAGGAAATTGTTAATGGACTGCTAACCACCTTCTAAATGATCTTTGGATGGAAAAACTTAATTATGATACTAAAATTTCAGTCAGTGACTTTCTAATACCTACATGAGTTCTTCGTGAATTCTGTGTTGCTACTTTTCTCAAGCCAAGATATGAGATATATAGGACAACTAGGAAAAGGGGGTAAAATTTTGACATGTACTTAGTAAAGTCATTTGTCCACATTTATTAAATTTAACAAGGAATAGTTTCCTTCCTGCCCAATGTTCCACACCTGCATTATTTCCTGCCCTCACTTATTAATAATTATTTTCCCTTCCTGATGGTTAGACTTGTAGATGGTTACTAGACAAGAATTTTCATTTTCTGGTGGCATATTTTTTGAAGGAATTTTCTACCAGGTCAATATTCCTAACTTCAGTGGGTTGCCCAGGCCCCCTCACTCAGCCCTCCTGACAAAAAATGAATGGTTTCTTTGTGGGCTTCATTGCACAATTCTTAGAAACTCCTTTAGACATTTTTTAATGTTTTTGGAAGGCCCTAAGAAAAATAAAAGTGACATTCTTATCTCAACTTGCATAAATAAATCCACACTTGAAGAGAATGCTAAGCTTAGAAATCCACCTTTGAAAGCCACTTTTTCACTTACCACCATGAAATACAGAACACAATCAGCTGAACAGAGGGTTTCAAAGACAAACGTTATTCTTCCCAGTTCAGAACCCATGGCTCCAGTCATAGATGTTGGTGGTCTATTTGAGAATTTAAAATTACAATATTTATAGTCTGTTCTAAACAGAGTCTATAACAAAATTAAGTCACTTTTTCCATTAGGCTGAAAGCCACACTCTTCTCTCCGCCATCTATTTACCCTCCCTACCCCCAGCACAGCTCCTTCCTCACTCCAACTCTGCACCACCATACCCTTTGTTCCAAAGTGGAGTCTGCTTGACTCACCTGGTTGTAAATGCTACAAACTATCCTAAAGCAAGAAAAAGACTCCTACTGGGAAATTTCAATATGGGAAACTAAAGCAAAATGAGATTAAACAACTTGTAACATACTGCTTTACACATAGAACTGAGAGAAAAATAAATACATACACCAAAAGATATTCCTGCAAACAACTTGGACAAAGGCCTCATCATTAGGCATCCAAGAAACATTTATTATATTTGGAAAAAACACCATTAAAAGCCTTCAGCTTCATCTAAGTAATATTCAACTAATAGTTATAGCTTCTCAATCACTGATTTTTAAATGTAATACATTATAGATATTTTAAATGTAATACATTATCCTATGACAGTTTGTTATGTGCTAAGTATATTACTGTATTTTATAAATGCAGTCCTACTTCATCTATTTCTATAGGGAAACAGGCATGAGGATTTTTACAGAAGGGAATCAGAATTGGTTTTCCTTACTTAAATCCAGGGATATGTAAGTTTAAGATCAGGTAATCATTATCAGAACCTCCAGCCCCACTCTGGATATGATCTCCAGCCACCTCCCAACCTGCAAATGAGAAAAGTCATCTTCATTGGTAAAAATTCCATTAATGATTTTCAACAGTCTTTTTAAATAAAGTTAAAGAAAAAAAAAAGGACTATTCATGATTATGTTCAAAGCTAGAAATACTCCAAAAGAATTGCCTATTTTTAAAATGCAGTTGCAAACTGCATGGAGTCTTAGATGCCAATAAAGACATTTCACATGATTACCCAGGAAGAATCAAGTAATGTATATTTTTACCTGAAAGTTATTTAATGGGAAAACTAAGAGCAGCTTTCTCAATGAGGTATGATTTTAAAAAGAAAAAGAAAGTTTTTATCTGTTCTAATACATTAAGATGGAAAATTTTAGTCTTCAGGTAACCAGTGGAAAATAGAAACTTCAAATTACTCAGTGAAGATTTGGGAACCAGAGTTCTTTCTTAGTTTACAGTATTGGTGCTTCCAAATTTAATTCTTGTACTGCGTTCACTCACTTCTTTATTCACTCAAATGGCATTCAGTGAGTGCCAAGAATCATGATGTGTATTAAGCACAGAAAGACAAGAGAGGGTCTACCTCATTGAGGAGTCAACAGAAAATGAGGGAGAATATGCTAGCAGTTGTCAATAATGTGGAGTGATACAGCCTCACCCGGCGGAGGGAAGGTCTGTCCTCTGCCAGAAACAATCAACACACCCCAGGCTGAAATGAGGAAAGGAGAAAGTGTCTCCCATATATTATCATTTATGTTTTCAGAAATCATATTCACTATAATATTCTGAAAACCACAGAAAAAGTTAAAGATGACTAAAATTACTTATAATCTCATCACCCAGAAAAAAAAACACTACTAACATTTTGAGGTCTTTCACTATTTCTTGATGCATATGTATTTGATATCACTGATATTTTAGTGTTAGTAACATTTCGTATTATGGTATTATAAATTAACATTATTACATAAGCATTTTTGTGTACAAATGCTTCACCAACATAATGCTGAATTAAGTTTACTATGTTGATAGATATAATTAATTTCCATAATGTACCAAACCACTCACATTACAGAACTTGTCTCCCATTTAACTATTTGAATTGATTTGCCTTTTAGCTAATATGAGTGACACTATAATGAACTTATTTTGAGTAAGGTTTTCTGTATTTTCCTAGAAAAGTATCCCAGTGAAAGAATCATTAGGTCAAATAAATATATTTCTAAACCAGTATTTGTGCTGTCATGCTGATTTTGAAAGCAATGTCCAGGAAGAATATTTAATAAATATAGTAAACTAAATGAGAACAGTGAAGTAATACATACTTCCCAGAAACCTTCCACTCCCAAGTGATAGCTTCTTAACATTTTGGTGTATTTCTTTTCAATCTTTTTCTAGTGTACACTTCTTTTTACTATACCTTAGATTTCAGTGTATACTCTACTTTGTTTTTGGATTTTTTTCATTTAGCATTATCTTCTTATTTTTCTAATAATCTTTATATTGAAAATGTTTCCCCATTAAAAATTATTTCTCTATCTAATTTTAATTATTTAACATACATTGCATGGTTACATTATGATTTAATTTAATCTTATCCTATTGGTGAAAATTTAGTTTTTCTCCTCCTAAATGTTAGAGTCAACATACTTGCATATAATATCTTTCTTCACATCACATTGTTTACTTAGTATAAATTCCCAGAAGTACAATTTATGGGTTGGAGAATAGGAACATTCAGAAGTCTTGGAACATTATTTTCCATATGGCTGCCATTTTTAATGCTTGCATAACATTTTATATGACAAGTATAGCATAACTTTCTTAAGCATTATTCTATTGTTGAATATTTAGACTATTTAATTTTTATAATTATAGATAATGCTCAATGGACATCTTCATGAATAACAGTAGCCTTTCACCAAACTTTGAATTCCTCTTATGAAAAATTCCAGCACATATAGATTTACTTCTAAACATCTGTTCTGCAACTGTGCATAATTCTGGCTGAGAATACATGAATCTCAAAGCACTGCAAGTTACAAAGCCAAGCTGGCCAAAGAACATCCCCTGAACTTTATAGCTGAGAAACTACCTCATGAGACAGGCTGCACCTGGATTTCTTGCTTTGACCCCATTCTTTTGTGTGGTACTCCTCTCAAGTTTGGTTACTGAACCACCTAATCACAAAAATATACAGCACCTTTTATCTTTGCATTTTTCATATTCCTATTTGTTATTCCAGTGTCACATACAAGTACTGCACAGGTGTGCACTTAAAAATTGAGCACTTCTGAAAATTAGCAAAAATTTAAATTTTAGCCTCCAGTTAAAGAAGCAAGTAAATGAAGTATTATCATGAGTTAGACTAAGAGTAAGTCCTCTAAAAAGTCAAAAGTTCCAGATAATCTTTCCTACTAAGTGAACACACAAACACACACACACACACACACACACACACACACACACACACACACACACAAATGTACTGATGCTTTTAGAGAGTCATTCAATGCTTTGCCTCCCCGAACTAATTTTTCGAATAGGTGTTAAGTTTCTCAACTAGGAATTCAGTCACAGGATCTTTTAGGAACACAAACCCTCATGGTCAGATAATAATAATTGTATTTTTTCTTCTTCTCCCTTAGGAAAACTTCCTTGAAGTGGGATTATTGGTCAATAAAGATTAGTATTTCATGATGTTCACTATATATTAAGGCTTTGTCTTTCTCTTCTTTATTCATCTGCTTAACCAACATTATTCAAGGACCTACTATTTGTCAACCTCTGTACTCATGTTTACAACTCACTTCCTACATCTGAAGTCTGTTCATTTTGGATAAGTACTGATTTAAAGCAGATGCAAATAAAGAGCAAGGGTTTTTTTTACAATATCAAATATAACATGGAGAAAAAGTGAGCTGATAAGAGTAAAGGATGCACTTTGGTATAAAACCCTAGTTTTTATAACACCTACTCCTAGCATCAAGTTAAAAAATGCATACATAGATACTGTCATTCATTCAACCAACAAATATTGCAGAACAACTAAATGTTAGGATCCCCAAGCACTTAAAATGTTAAAACAAAATTCAGCAACCATCATATAGAACTTTGCCATCTATTTCCTAGTTTTCTGTAAGTGGGGGTCATATAAATTTTGTAAACATGGTCATAGATTTCACAGGCCTGGTAGGAGGAGATGATTTAACCTCATACCATGGCTAAGTGCTGAGCCAGACTAAGTCAATCTGGGCAGAAATGCTGTCATACTATCCTTCAAAATGGCAAACAACATAGATTTCATTCCTTCCCTTGGTGATATATTCTGGTATTTATAGCCAAAAATGATGATCCTCAACATCTACTTCAAATCTGACTCCAAAAACATGCAAAATCATTTATACTCTTATAGGAAAGTCATCTGGCTATGACACTGCATTTATTATTTGATGTAAAGGCTAGAAGACAGGCCTGATCAAATGACAAGATTGAAGTTCCTTATACCCATATTTAGTATGTTTTAGAGAGCTGAGCCCAAGAGTCTGTATTGCCAAAATGTATTTGAAGGCTGATTTTGAACTCACCATTCATTCCATCACACTTTGAATTCCCAACATTGAAGCAGGAAGTTTTCATGTTGCCAGGAAGGACATTCCACCATTTATATTCAAACCCAAGTGCAGGCTCCATTCCTGCTGGACACGGCCTACATTCTACAGGACACAATGGGTGAACAATTGCAATTAAACTGCATCCATACAAATTCCTCTTCCTCTTTAACTATAAAAACCAAGCACTACCAAACTTTAGTTAGCAGAGAGGGAAGTGGGAAGGAGAGATACTGGGCCACCAACTCCCTTAAGAAATCTTTTCGAAGCAATCTGGAAAGAACAATAATTCTGGATATAATATGTGCACATATGCCTGACTAACATGGAAAAGGAAAAGAACAAATATAAAAATCTTTTAAAATTATTTTCCCGTTATTTCTCGAGTAACTGCTAATACTGAATTACACCCCACAAGCCAAGAGTAATTCTAAAACAAGTTCTTTTAGATGTGATTTAGAATCAAACTCCCTCCAATTCTTGAATAAGAAAATATTTCACCATTTCTATCAGTTATTAAAATTAACAGAATATCATGCCATTTGATTATGGACTGATTACTTGAAATTCAAAATATTGGCTACATTGAAAAATGATACTGGGAATTGAGGGGTTTGGAAAGAGTTCAGTTTATAAATAAGCCTGATTTAAACATTTGCAACATTGAAATTGAAGGGTCTTTTTTCAACCATTCTTTAATTTACCCAAGCATTTTGCATTATCATATCAGTAAGAGAAGGGAGAGAAAATGTTCATTAAGCAAACATTTCCTGGTACCAAAGTACTACAGGAGACATTTTTACATAACCTGTTCAATGATGACTGAGCTAGATATTATTACCCGTAATTTTACAGATGAGGACACTGAGGTTCAAAATGTTTAAGCAATTTTAATATATCATACATTGGTAGCCTGCAGGATGAGGATTCAAACCCAAGTCAGTTTGACTCTCAAGTCCTTTTATATGCTCTCTCTCAAAGGCTCTGGATATTAAATACATGGCATGGCTATAATCAAGTAAAATTTTCCCAACTGTACACTTTGAAACAATTTATTTAGGGACAATTTTAATGCCCTTTGATCAAAAAGAACAGTTCTTGCCATTATTGTAGCACAGACTGTGACTCACTATTCCACAGCTGAAATATGTTATATTCTAAGCTTGTATTAATATATGTGCACACACACACTGGAAAAGGAGTGCTTATCCTTAATCACTTATTATGGTGGAATATTCTTATCACTATCCAAAGGCAGCAAGTCATCTCATTAGGAGGTGTTAAACAAAATACCATGAGAAAGCTATCCCTATGATAAGTCATTGCAGCCTCACGATTCCATTACTCTACTTCTCAACTCTTTAGTCTCTATAAGAAAAGTGTGTTTATAAAGAATTGTTCCATAAGAAATATCATTTTAAACATGATCACAAAGTCCAACAATATTATTTTGCTAAAGGTTTAATTTTTGGACCAGTTGATATCCTACCCTTTGTTCCATCTGAAAACATTCCAGGAGGGCAGGGATGGCAAGAAGACGATCCGTTATTATAAAATCCAGGGTTGCAAGGTGGACAATCCTTCTTCTCTCCAGAAGGGGGCAACCTAATAGCATCTGTAAGATCCTCCCGGCAGATTTTGGGCTCTATCCACTTGTACATTATCTGTGTCTGCAAAACAAGCTTGCACGTTATATAACAAGCTTTATTTGCTTTACTTCCTATTACAATAATGTTAAACTGACAACCTAGGAAAAGTCCAAGTAGTGCAAGAACAGAGAGACCAGCTAAAGAGAATCTAAAACATTAGTATCAAAATGAGACAGAAAAAAACTGGTGAGGAAATATTCTTCACTTCCAAATGTTTTTACCCTAACCTACAGGCAGCCTTATCTCAAACACAACAAGTTCCTCATCGCGAAATTCCTCTTTAAAATATAGATAACATGATTATAGCCCTTATTCTTCCAGCCACTTATTCACTTTATTCCATAACAGTTTCTATGCAGAGGCAATCTTTTTCATTCTGAGACCTACACTACTCTCTTCCTTTCCCTCACCCACTGCACACATCAGCATGCTTTGGACATCATGATCACAAAAGAAAAGACTTATTTTTAAAAAAGAATATTTTTAAAAATCTTCACATTTCAATCCTTTTATAACATAAATACTGGTATTTGCTCTGAGTCTTTTCAAATAACCTGATGTTGGACTTCAAGAGCTGTGACTATATTTCTATAATTTAGACCCTGTTGCATTCGCTCCTAACATCAGGACTAAGACAGCCTCTACACTCAAGGAGAGAAGTCTTTTAAACTTGATTTTTTCATCTTTCTTACTTGTGCATACACCTCCACACAAAGCAAAATTCAACAAAATAGCTATGACTCAGACAAACCCAGTAACTTGTGATTATAAAATTATTCTCATTTTGAAATTAGAAACATGAAATGAGTTAGCCATTTCACAAACAAATGTGATATGTTCAGTGGGGAAAAAAGAATTCTAAATGCAAAGGGAAATATAAATAACTTCATAACTAAATACAGTTTTCAAGAAAAGACTAAGGTTTCCTTCATTAGACATATAATCTCCTGAGGGTATTCTTTCTCCTTCAAACCAACTTCTGCAATAATAAGGCTAATACTGAAGCTGCAAAACCAAAATTAAAGGCAATTCTCTATAGCTTTTTTCAGTTAATGGAAAGTTATGTATAGTAAACCCTCTAGGTCACTCAATTTCATTCTCAGTGTATTCTCTTATGGGAAGTAAATTACCTTATCTGAAGAAGGATGCTTAAGAAGATGCTTTGAAAGGTAGACATTCAACAGAATTAAAAATAACATTTTTTTTCCTTTTACAACTCTTTCCACATTCATTTTATGGCCTACGTCATGATACAGTTAACCAGCCACTTCACCCATCTGCCTCTCTCTTACCATCTGTGAAAGGACGGCTGCTCCTGCTGGAGCTTCCTAAAGAACTGAAACATAAACTAGATCCTATATCTCTAAGGGGTTCTCAAGTCCCCTGAGAAAGGCAATATAAATTTAGAGAATCTAAGCCAATGATACATCATTGTACTTGAGGGTTTGTCTTTGTAAAATTCTGGCTTAACAAGTATAAAAAACAAATTTCGAATCTTAGTCAACTCACAAATTTGCTGCTTTATTTTGAAATCAATTGAAGTTGCACTGAGTTAGGTGTGAGCTACTGAGTTCGGTGTGATGGGAATTGTTGGTTACCGCTGGGAGGTGGGGCAGTGCTGAGGCTGAGCCCTGGGGACTGATCCTGGAGGCTCATGTGACCTCCAACACTTGGAGAAGCCAGGATCATTATCCTCACGTTTGTAAATGAGGAAGCTCTGGATAGGAGCTGTTAAACCACTAGCTCAAAAGTCATACAGAGCTAAGAAAACAGTAAAGTAGCACTAGTCAAGAAAGTCAGTCTGGTAAGGGTAAAAAAAACAAAATAGGGAAATATATTTTTGACAAGTCAGCTAACCACATGATTTTCAATCCAAGCACAGTAAATAATGGTGAATTAGAGAATGTGCACTAAGTTTAAACACTAAGAAGTCAAATTTCAAATGCTCTATAGTAAAAGTTTAATTTACAAAGCCTCTTGTTTCACATGGCAGATTGATTCTGTGCCTCTCTTCCTAATGTGGACAGATGTTTTCAAGTCTGGCTGACTGGGGAAAGACAATAATTAATATTAGTGATACTTAGCACCAGATGGCTTATAGTGCAAGTGAAAAACCAACAGTCAGTTCATTCTTTGGCAAGTTTAGATAAAATTAAGAAATGTTTTATAAAACCCAAACCCTAATAGAGCAAAACTTACCAGGGTGCCCTTAGGTTTACAGAAGAGCTATAGTGTTCAAATATATTTATACTAAGCATGAATTAAATACGCTTTTAAGAAACACATGGAGATAGCAATGGAAAGCTGCTTCTCATATCAAAATAAAATACAAGATTCACTGGATATGGCTGGTAATTATAGGTCTGCTTTTGTTATGTAGCTGTATTCCTATTATGTTAATGTATGTGCGCAATTTAATTAGTAGTTTAAAACCTATACATGCTTATGTTACTCTACAAAAAGATATGTCAAAGAAATAATCAATCTTCCCATGTTTTCTTCTGTCTGCTACTTCTATAGCTTTTCTTCTTCCTTCCTAATTACAACTCTTTAGAAGAATTAGTGCCTCATATCAGAAATTACCGAGT